TTTTCATTTTCTCTTTTTTGGTAGACATTTTTCTTTATTGCCTTTTTTCTTCTTATATATATATATATATATATATATATATATATATATATATATAAGAGAGAGAGAGAGAGAGAGAGAGAGAGAGAGAGAGAGAGAGAGAGAGGGGTGTGTGCACGTCTGTTTGCAAGCCAACCAGGCAGGCGTCCGGTTGGCTTGTGCCAGGTTGCACATAATACATATTAAAAAAAACAAAAAAAAAGAGGAGCCCATCTCGCTTGGGCTACAAGCAAGCCAGCGCGCTTAGGCCTTGCCTGCAGCTCAAGAGAAAAAAAAAATGAAACAAAACAAACTTGCAACTTTCGACAAACCCGAGTCGTTGGAAGTTTGCCAAAAAATCGAGGTTCAGCTTTTAGATGCCTAAAAATTGAATTTCGACAACATTTTTTTCTGTAAATACCTCTAAATGATTGGAATAAAGCCAATAAACACATTCAAAGCCTTAAAAATCATTTTAATACACACAAAAACAAAGAAAAATACAAAATCAAATCGGATTTTTTTTTTTTTGGCTTTAATCTATCTCCTCTAATTGTTTAATGGTTTAAAATCATCATGGATAAATTTATCTTTCAAAGATAAAAAGATATGGTGGATTTTCGCCGGCCAAAGTAGCCTAAATGAGCTTGGCCGGCGATCTCTCTCCCCTCCCGTCTCTCTCTTCCTCTCATCTTTTTCTTTCCATCCGGGGACCAAAATGGATGAGAAAATAAACATATGGCTCGAAATATGCATTCGAAAATATCAAAGACCAAAGTGTAAAAAAGTTATGAATAATGAAAGTAACAGTGAATTGTGAGAGGGTGAATAGTGAAATATGAGTGTGTGCACAATGGTTCAAATAGTGTAGCTACAGTGAAATTGTGTTTTCCTTTAGTTTATTAGTTAATTTTATAAGTAATTCAAATTTTGGGAAAAGTTTGTTTCCTTCAAAAAACGTTTGTCACTCCCCTTTAAATTTCCCTGAAAAAAATATCTACTAAATACTTCGTTAGTAATTCAAATTTTGGGTAAATTTGGTCTTTCTCCTCAAATTGTCTTCATTTATGCATCTCTTTTATTTCCAATCACATCTGATATGTTCCTTCTTTTTTCTCTTTCTCGTCATATTTCTTCATTTTCCGTTCTCTTTCATTACCAACACATTTTTTAAATTTTGTAAACCTTAATTATTGAGATCTTAGCCAATAAATTAATAAAAAAGAATGGGACCAAGTTACGATTTGTTAATTTTTGAATCGATAGGGTGGCATTTATTCTTGAATGGATCGAGGAATTAGGAATAAGTCTGAGAAATTATTATTACATATAGAGTTAGTTTATGATGGTAGTTAAAAATGGAGTTTGTAACTAATTTTTATGACAAATCTCGTATATTTATACGAGAGAAGAAAACATAATTTCAAATACATATGCGTGTATAATAATTTATATTTTTAGTAGGAATCTAGTGTGTATTTAATAAATACTTTAAATACACAAATGAGTTTTTAAGAGATTAGTTTGATGGTTAAGATGGTTTGTATATTTATTGACTTCGTGGATTTAAATTTTAGACTAATATCTAGAAGAATTTATTAAATTTTTCTAAATGAAATAAGTCAATGTGAAGATTGCATTCTTAAAATTGTCAAAAAGGAAATTTATTTTCAGTTGACATGTTCGTTGACTCGAGATTTGCTCACTTTCTTAGCATTTTTTTTTTTTTTTTTTGGATTCAAATCTTAAGGCCAACATCTAGAGAAATTTCTTTGACACCAAGTCATGCAATTTAAGAGCTGGATGAGCCATTAAAATCGTTTAAAGAAAAATTTAGTTTAAATTAAAATGCAATAGACCGACATTGACGATGCATCTTTAAAATCGCTTGAAAAAGAACAAGGTGGCTTGAGATTTACTCAATTATATATATATATATATATTAATTATTTTTTGGGTTCAAATCTTGAGCCGAAATCTCAAAAGATTTATTAAATTTTTCTAACATCAAGTTTATGAGGGAGGGTGTGTCATTAAAATTGTTTAAGAAAAAATTTGATTTCGATTAATACACAATTGAAAGATATCTTTACCCATCAAACCAAAAAATATTTCATAAATGGTAATGCATGTTGCAGGCAACTAAAAAAAAAAACAGTACTGTATGAGAATAGATTAAAACTAGATTTTTAACTCAATATATGAAATCAAAAATAAAAAAAATAATTATAATTTTTTAATCAAAAATTTTGTATTTAACTATTTCTTTTTTGTGTTTTTCATATTTTTTTCTTTTCAAAAAAGATTTATCCTTTTTAATCCATGGATTATTAACTAAAAATAAAATTAAATAATTGTTTTAAATTTTTTTAGTATTTTATAAGATTGTGTCGAAAAACAAAAATAACAATTACTAAAAGCTTACATAGAATTGAACAAATATATATATTTTTTATTTCATGTTGATGAGAATATTGATTTTTGAAAAAAATATGAATTTAATTTTTATTAATTGGATGAATAATATTAAAATAAATCAAAACTATGAGTAAATATAATTTTAAATTAATTGGGTGAGAATTTAAAAGAAATGACATATTAATGAAAATATTAATAAATGACAAACTATGAGTAATAAAATTCTTTATTATAATACATGTACCTTTTTTTTTAGAAATACATCTTATGTAATTGTTAATTAATAAATTATGTTATGTGATAGTATGTGCTTATAGACATAATTATTTTTTGAAAAAAAACATTATTTTTTCAAATTAGATATTTTAAAATTTAAAAATAAATAATAAAGAAAATAAATTATTAGTTCCTTTAAAATTTTAGCACCAAATTAATTGTTGGTTCCTTTAAAATTTTAACACCCAACATTATTCAAATACGAAAATTAAAAAAAAAATCGTTCACTTTTCAAAAAAGAAATAACAAATTAGTCACACCAAAAGAAAAATTAGATATTTTAAATTTTAGAATAAATAATAAAAGAAATAAATTATTGGTTTTTTTAAAATTTTAACGTCCAATTAATTGTTGGTTCCTTTAAAATTTTAACACATAATATTATTAAAAAATTAAAAATTAAAAAAAAAAAACAGTTCAATGTTTACAAAAAAAAAAAAAAAGGAGGGCCAACAAAAATGTTTAGTGTTTAGAAAGATAAAAAGGGGGAAAGGAATCATTTACTGTTTAAATGAATAGTAAATGGAACAAAAAAAGGGAAAGAAGGCCAGAGGGCACTGACAGAAAAACAAAAAACTAAAGCACAATAATGAATAGTGTTACTGTTTATTGTTATAGTGAAAAACAATTTTAATTTATTTTGTATCATATTTTTAAAGGGACTCATTGGTTCGGGGAGGAAAGCTTTATGAATCCATCATATATAATTAAGATGTCCCAAAAGTCTCTAGTTGCTGATTTATTTTTATGAATTAGATTTAGCTAGATGTGTAGGGATGGCAATCCAATCCGTCCTGAAGTCATCCCGTCTCGCTCTATTTGGAGTGGAGATGAGGCGTGAAATTTTGCCTTGAACGAGACACGAGAGAGATGGTTTTTTTTTTTTTAAATGGGGCGGGGATAGGGATGGTGATCTCCGCCCTGCCTCGCCTTTTTACTTTTAGAAAAGGTAATTTTATGGAGTCTAGTCTTGTCTCATTTTATTTAAGACGGAGATGAAGAGTGAAATTTCACTCCAAACGAGATATGAGGGGGCAGAGATGAGTTTTTTTTTTGGGGGACGGGGCAGGGATGAGGATTGCCATTCCCGCCCCCATTGCCATCCCTGTAGGTGTGAAACCTCGTTGGATAAATAAGAGTGAGGTTTGTTATATGTGTTGGAATCTTCATGTGACCTTGTCGGGTCTCTGTATATAAGCGATTGCAAGTGACATTCGTCTGTCTTAAGAATTTGACATAGAAAGTCACAATGCAAGCCAACGGGTCTTGGTCTAATGGTCAACCTTTGTACACAAATAAATAAATTAAAACCTATACTCAGGCTCTCAAGCTATGTGAATTTAGTAATAGCCTAATAGGTATGAGAAGATTTTATAAAAGCCTTTTTTTTAATTAAAAAAAGTATGAAATTGAGGTTTTTTTAGATGTTTTTCATTATTTTTTATATCTTCCCATCAAAACTATTGAAAAATATTACTTAAAAAAAATATATATATATATTATTTTGATATTTTTTATTTTATTTAAACCTACTTTTAAATACAATAAAATCGCTTTACCAATCGAGCCAAAGGCTCTCAAAATTGTTGTGCTCAAGCTGCAATCTATTGACCTCACCTCAGGTTTAAAAAAAAAAAAAAAACCTTGAAAATATAAGAAATAGTTTGTCATTCTAAGCATGTGCTTGCTAAAATTGCATATAATTCACTTGTAATATTTCATAAGTAATTATAATAATAATAATTCACTTGGAATGAAAAATAAAATGAGAATATTTAGCCATTTTATTATTATTATTATTATTATTATCCTTTTGTTGTAAAAGAGAATTCTAATTTGATTTTTTAAAATTAAAAAAAAAACATTAATACTAGTTGAACTACAATTCATTAGTTATGAAATATTATATGATTAACCAATGGATTAGAATTCCAAAAAGAAAAAAAAAAGGCAAATATGTTGTTTTAAGTAACGAAAATTAATCCTCTTCTTCGGTGGAATAATATTAAAATTTCCTTAATAGTAAAATGTTATGTTTTATTTCCTACTTTTCCGAACTGGCAAACCAACTCACAAGGGTCCGAGGTCATAAGAAAACACAATGGTGAGGACCTTTGAAATATTTTGCCCATTGATATCCAAATCTAAAATGACTGTAAACGTTTTAACGGCTGATTTGTACTTTCAGCGAACGTCTATATTCGAACAAATGACGTCCCATTGACGTCCAAGTCAGAAAGCCTTTCCGCTTCACCTGCCTCTTGTCTCCTCTATCTGGTCACAGACAGATGTTGACGCAGGCATGGATTCTAAGGTCTACCATTTCCCTTTCAACCGTATCACGCGTTTACGTTTCCTGCGTTGAAAGTCGATCTCTTGGATGGGATACGTCTCAGCAAAGTGTCGAGTACTCTTATCCATCTTCATTTAATTTTCTCTCTGATTCTAGTGTCGCTTAATTTCTCCTTGTTTGGTGGTTACTGGCTTCAAATGTATCATTCTTATTTGCCTTGTCGTTGTTTCCTCTTAATTCTGCTTTCTTTTCTCTGTTTCTTTGTAAGTTTCTCTCTGTCCGACCCAAGAGCTACCGAGGCAGCTCTAATATGCACAAACAGAACAGCCACGGTGCCAGAGAGGCAAACAGTCATAGCAAACTTCTTGGCAGCGTTGGACGCAGTGACACCGCTGGTTATGAGACAAAAATATGCAGCTGTTATTAACGGGACAGGTAACACTACAGTTTATGCTTTTGGTGAGTGCATGAAAGATCTTGATGCAACAGATTGCAACCTCTGTTTTGCTCAGTGCAAAACTCAGATTTTGAGGTGCCTCCCTTTTCAGTTAGCTACTCGCGGAGGTAGACTTTTCTATGATGGATGCTATTTAAGGTACGATGATTATAATTTCTTTAATGAGACGTTGAGTACTCAAGATAAGACCATTTGTGCAAGTCGGGATTTCAGTGGTGGTAATAAGACAGTTTTCAGTGCTAATGTTTTGGCGTTAGTGAGGAATTTGAGTGTTCTAGCTCCAAAGAATGATGGGTTCTTTGTTGGGTCTGTGGATAGAGGGAATGTTTCAGTTTTTGGGTTGGGTCAGTGCTGGGAGTTTGTGAATGGAAGTGCTTGTGAGACTTGTTTAACGAATGCTGTATCTGAGATTGGATCGTGTACTCCGAAGGAAGAAGGCAGAGTTTTGAATGCTGGTTGTTACTTGAGATACTCCACTCATAAATTTTATAACAATTCAAGCTCTCCAAGCCGAGGAAATAAAGGTGAGATGGGTCTTCTTCAATTCTGTTTGTTGCTAACTTTCTTTTTTTTTGCTTCTGTATATACTATCAATTATGGTATGGTTATTCTGTTTGGATGAAGACCTCATAGCTAGATTAAGGTGTCCAAACAATGGTTGTATCTCAAAAATTTTAATTCATCAAAATAATAATTAGATTCAAAACATTAGGTTCGTTTTGGGCTTTTTATGCACTGTAAGTTGGATGATTCAGTCAATCGATTGAGGTTTGTAATTTGTTGTAATCAGTTTAGGGATGATACATGATCATTTTAAAAATAGTTAATTAGTGCATTTTGTCAGAACCTAGTTGAGCATCATACGCTGAATCTAAAGCTATTACTTTGACTACTGCATTGACAATCGTATCATCATGGTGACTATTAGGACGCAGCCGCTTGGCTATTATTCTGGCTGTGACATCTTCAAGTTTGGCACTTGCTTTGATTGCTGCAACAGCTGCTTTCTTTGTGAGGAGGAGAGTCGCAGAAAAGAAGAGAGGTAAGTAAATATGAAGGTCTAGAATTTCATTTTCTTCCAATTTTGATTCTAAACATGGAGTTTAACGTGCTTCTCTGATCTTGTGTTTGTCCCAGTAAGGAAGGAACTAGGTGGTTTATTGGTCGCAGTGAATAAGTCCAAGCTCAATTTCTCCTATGAATCTCTTGAAAAAGCTACAAATTACTTCCACCTTTCAAACAAGCTGGGACAAGGAGGATCTGGATCAGTTTACAAAGTAAATTCTTATTTTAGCTTATATTCATTTTGCAGTTAATCAAATAATCCTTACTCATGGAACTAAATGAGCGCATTAACTCTCCTTTTCTTTCTTTTTTCATAATCAAGTAGGGAACATTGTCGGATGGGACTACTGTTGCTGTAAAGAGGCTTTTATTCAACACAAGGCAATGGGTGGATCACTTCTTTAATGAAGTCAATTTGATCAGCGACATTCAACACAAAAATCTTGTTAAGTTGTTGGGATGTAGCATCACAGGGCCAGAAAGCCTTCTTGTTTATGAATACGTGCCGAATCAAAGCCTTCATGATTACTTCTTTGGTTGTTATCTCATCTCTAAATGCGGTACATTGTTCTCATATCTGCAAGCAATCTTATTAATGAGTTTTCATTTGATCTGCTTCAGCTAAAAAGAAACTTCCACCATTATCATGGGCGATGAGGTATAACATCATATTGGGTACAGCTGAGGGCTTAGCCCATCTTCACGATGAATCAGAGTTGAGAATCATACATAGAGACATTAAACTGAGCAATGTCCTCCTTGATGAGAATTTTAACCCAAAAATAGCTGATTTTGGACTTGCTAGACTATTTCCAGAAGATAAGTCTCACATCAGCACGGCAATCGCTGGCACATTGTAAGATCAATGCTACCTTCAATTATGTTTATTAATCCTCCATTAAGGGTATTTCTTTTTGTAGTTATTCTCACTTCATCTGAGAAAATTTTCACGTAGGTATAAATTGTAGCAATGCTCAACATTATAGTATTTTTTTCTGTCTATCTCCCATAAGCTTAACATATTGTTGGTGCTATGACGACGTGCAATGGTTAAGTAAAAGCAGCTAATGTTACCTGTGGCTACTAGCATAGGAGGGAACTATATCAAGTTTTATTGTCAGCTGGCAGTTTCTATCCATCAATAAATTATTAATTTGTATTTACTGATGCATCTGGCTCCTCCTGAGTTCACATAGCTGATGTATAATAGAGAGACAAATATGCTATTCATATTTAGTATTTACACGTCGAGTCCCTAAAACAATTAATTAAATTGGCTCTTGCAGAGGTTACATGGCTCCAGAGTATGTCATTCGCGGAAAACTGACCGAGAAGGTTGACATTTACAGTTTTGGAGTTCTCCTGATTGAAGTGGTGAGCGGAAAAGGGAAAACTTCTTTCTTTGGAGATTCATGCTCTATCCTACAAACGGTGATTAATTCTCTTACTCATATGAGATGAATTGTGTGTTCTGTATTGATAAATGCTCACTTATCAATTATCCAAGCATAAAATATATATATTTTTTACTTCCTTTTGCTCTTTGGAAAAGGTTTGGAACCTACATGGAATTGGCAGACTATACGAAGCTATTGATCCAGTCCTAGAAGGAAATTTTCAAGAAGAGGAAGCATCACGATTACTTCAAATAGGCCTCCTTTGTGTACAAGCTTCACCAGAGCTGCGTCCGTCTATGTCGATCATCATTCGAATGATTAATAACAATCATGAGGTTCCTCAGCCAACACAACCACCATTTCTCACTCCTGCTGGTATGGAAATCAGGCAACCTGGTTCCACTTACAAATCTCAGCTCGAGTCTTGTACCCAATCTTCAGGGAATAGCATGACACAAAGCTTGAGTGAGCCCAGATGACGTCCTTGGGAAGTTCTGAAAGTTGAAACTGGTGAATCCGGGTTGACCTTATCTAACTTGCCAATTCTTCCTCTGCTTGCTCATTCTTGAGTTGTAGAGGCCTTTTTGCTGAAAACAGGCAATGTTACATGCTGAGCTGACTCGAGTGATCTGTTAATACTATAATCATGCATAAATAGTTTACAACTTTACACAATTATCACACTGACGCAATTTAATAGAAATTGTTTTCGATATTGAATTATCTATTGATAAGAGTTTTTTCCTTTCCTCCACCTTTCTTTACAATGTTTGTGAGCAATTTGGCCATTGAATAGAATTTTACCTTTATGAATTGTTTTTCATGTTGGCTCAATTTTTTTTAAAAAAATTTCTCTTTTTCATTTTTTTTCCTTTTTTGTGTCTATTTCTCTCAAGTAACTCATGTAATAACTACTGTATGTATACAGAAGTTACTTTTTGAATATTATAACATTTTTCCTTTTTGCACAATTGATAGGGATATGGTTCAATAATACGTTCCTCTGATTAAATTCAAACATTATAACTAGATAAAATCTAATCAAATAATTTGGTCACTCAGTGATCTTCAAATTTAGGTACTATCTATTGAATCTCAACAAATTTTGATACTGTGATATATTAATTTCATTATCTAAAAATTAGTATTATTTTCAATCTTCCAAAAATTATTTATTTTTCTTAGAGATTGATTAAAAATGGAAGTTTTTTGTGGTATGCATGCAATATGATATTTCTAGAGAATATAAACTTATTGTTGGAAATATTAGAAGACATTACTAGGAAAAAAAATCACGAGGGTATATAAATAAAAATATCAATTAAAAAAATAAAGTAGACTCATCGATAGTGCTGTGTAGTCATTTTTCCTCAAGAGCAAGAGCAAGGTTGTTAAAATTGCTTTTTTAACTAGGATTGGTGAAGGGTGAAGAAAATCAAATCTTAAACTCTGATTGTAAACTCGTAAGATTTTATAAACTACATAAAATACATTTAAAAAACTATAATGGTTGAAACTTGAAATTATAGTTTATATTTAACCATTTTATCGAGTAAGTATGTGTACATAGATAAATTAAGGGTCCACTAATTCTGTTTTTTAATGAATATTAAATATTTTGTGATTGAATCTCCTTTATTTTAAAAGCATTGAGTGAGAAGTGGAACGCATATTTATTCCTGCTTGTGCAACATTATTTCGAGTATCTCAACTTTTTGTACCTGTTTGATATATGAAATCCACGTAAATGCTAATTGTACATATCTAGCCTCTTAATTGTTATATACAAAGGATTAAACGATACAAAATTAAAAAAAAAAAAAACTTTTTTAGATTATGATTGTTAATGAGATGGCTTTTAATCCTAGACTCGTAGTGTTCTAGCTTAATGTGTATTAATTTAACAAAGATTATTTAAAAAATAAGTTTTTCAATAATTAAGTTAGTTTATGAAAAAAGATATCTAGTCCGAATAAACTCTTAAGAGATTAGCCTTTGTATATAGGTTACATATAATGATATAACGGTTTAAAGGTAAATTTTGTTCTCATTCTATTGCGATTGACAATTTCAAACTTTAACATCAAATTATGTAATTTGAATCCTCAACTATTGGTTTTTGGACAAAATTGATCAAATTTTTTAATTACGAGTTACTTGGAATGTCAAAACGTCATTGTTTTGGCATTTCACTATTAATTATGTTTTTACAAAAATATTTTAAAAATATTTTTAACTCCCTAATCTTGAACTTTTTCTAAAAACTTTTTTTCTTATAAAATATTATAAATTCTAATATTTTATAAATTATATATAAAAAATTTATAAATACTTTTAACCTCCTAACTTTGAACTTTTTTAAGACTTTTTTATTTATAAAATATTATAAACATTTTATTAAAAAATGTTTTTTTTAAATTTATATAGTTAGGGGAGTCAAACCTTAATTATGCTCATTTTAATTTATAAAACATTACAATTTATATTCTAAACATTTTAATGCTCACTGGATATTATAAACATTTTATAAAAGATATTGTGAAAAAAATAACTAACAATAGACAATTTCAGACCTTAAAAAACATTTATAAATTAAATTATAAAATAAAAAAATTATAGAATTTTTATAATATTTTATAATTTTTTTTTAAAAGTTCAAAATTAGGGGGTTAAATATATATAATGTTTATAAGATTTTATCATAAAAAAAGTTAAAAAAAAAAAGATCGGGAGGGTTAAAAATATATATTTTTAAAAAATATAATTAATACATGTTTCTAATTTTTTTAAAAAACATAATTAATAGATGTTTCTAATTTCTTTTAAAAAAAAAAACATAATTAACAATGAATGTCAAAATGACGTTATTTTAACATTCTAATTAATGACCAGTTGATCATTAGATATAACGATAATTAAAAAAATTGGATCAATTTTATCAAAAAACCAATAATTTGAAATTCAAATTATATAATTCGGTATTAATGGTTTGAAATTACTAAATTGCAATAGAATAAAGACAAATTTTACTATTAAACTATAATATAATTATTTTGAACTTGTAAGACAGAATTCGTAACTTTTAACATGTTAATATTTATATAAGAGAATGTAATAATCAATTTATATAACTTGAAGCTAGGATGATATTTTTTTTCACATATCCAATAGTTTCTATCATCTACTTGAAAAAAATATCTATTTTTGATATTGAACATTCGCTGTTAGACAGTTAAATAACCTTCATGATTGTGGTTGATGAAACAGAGAGTGCCTAGAGAACATGTTTTTATTTAATGAATATACTTTTTATTTTCTTAATTAATGATGGTCAATGGGAAAATAACTTGAAATCGCTTAAGGTTTTGTGTTCGGGTCTTCCTAAGCCTATCAATAAATCTCCAGCTGGGGAGACTGGATGTCTTTCCCATGCGTCGTTAACAAAGACGCCCATTGTTTTTCTGGGTATGTCAATTGTCTTTCGAAATCTTTGATTATTTTTATTGACGAAGACTTGATTTGTACCCAGGATTTAAATATACATGATCTTGAGCAGAGCAAAAAATTGACAGGACTTTTTTATTTAGAATGAAACATCCAAATTTCTTCTGCGATCAAATAGCGTTATTAATGATGGAAAAACTAACGGCGTTAACAACCATATAGTAGAAGGTTTTGATTAAAAAAATTAAAAAAAATGAAAAACGTCATTAAGACAAAATTAATAATACAAAGACTTCCGTACTTATGAACCCGTGCAATGACAAAAAGAAAAAGAATAGGAGAAGGTATATTAAACCCAATACATGAAGTTCTGTTTGATGATGCAGTTTTAGTAGGTTTGAAAGCCTTTTTTTTTTTTTTAAAGTGCATTTAGATTGTAAAAAAAAAAAAAAAACCCACTACATTTGAACGGTAAAAGCATAAAAATGATGCATTTTTAAAGTGTTTCTAAAAGGTCTTGACATGAAGATATCAAAACTAATAAAAAAGCCTCTTAAATAGCATTAATTTATGTATTTTCAATTGATTTTTTTTTAATAAAAACACCTACCCTCCATTGTCAACGCTAAGTATCTTATTTCTAATCGAGCTCGGAACTACTCTTGCGCGTCGTTGTTGAGTTCTAGGATAAAAATAACGCGTCAAGTCTAATATTGCTAGCTCGAGACTTTTCGGTGTACAACGCCCCAAGTTTGAGGTTATGTTTAACGTTGAAAAAAACATTCTAACGCTAAAATAATAATAAATCGTTGAATTTAATTATTGGCGGTGATTATGGTCACAAATTATCATAAGATATTAATATTAGTATTTTTTTGTCCTCATTTTAAAATGTCCTTCCAATATATTACAGAGAAATTTCCTTCCGTTGATTTCTACGTCAAAATTCTTAAAGTCATCTATCAATCTATTAACTATCAAAAAGCCAACGGTTTTGTTTCTTTCTAGGTTCTTCGATGGGACTAGTGTCTTCCAACCCATTCATCTATAATTTTCCTATTCCTAACAAATTCATTACATCTTTCAGATTAAAAATTTATAATCTTGAAGACCTTATTTTCTTTAATAACCACCAAGAAGGGTAGGTAGAGTCTTGAGAGAAGTACTTTTAATTCATGAAGTTAAAAAGTAAATATTTAATCTACTACTTGTAATATATATTCTAATTGTCATATTTAGACTTAACAGAAAGTGAACAAATTTGTTAATTTTTTTTTTAATAGTTCATGAAACGTGATCATTGAAAGGGAAATTAGGCACCATAATTTTTATGATGATATCAATAATAGTTATCAATTGGTTTAAAATTGTCCAACATTTGAGTCAACTTGGACTCAAGCGAGCAAATTGGGGAATAAAAGGTGGACTAAACTTGAGGTCCTTTTACTAAACGAAAGTGACGATAGATGCAAGGACAGAATAGTAAATCTAACGTCACCTCCCACTCAATCAGTGCCAAATAGATTTCTTCTTTTTCTCACAAATCAAAATTAATTTGATTTCGTGCAAATCATAAATGGCACACAACGTCAGAAGAGGGAGAGAGACTAGAAACGCGTTTTTGCCGTTGATTTCTATCTTCCTTCATTATCTTTGTTCTCTACGTTTAGTTAGCAGAAACAGGTGAAGCCAAGACTCGACCTCGTCACCCAGCCTAATTAATTCTCCAATCTTGCTCAACACTCAACATCTCTTTGCTCACACAAACACAAATTAAGGTATGCAAATCATTTCATCTATATATATTCACACAAGTTGTTGTTTCTGATCTTTAATTTTATTTGATGCGCTAATAAGTTTTATTCTGATTCCATATCTTTACATTCTCTCTCTCTTTCTCTACACACATACACACACATGTCATTGCAACAAAGCTAGGAAGCTAATTACAAACTCATTTCGCGAAGAAAAGCTTTGTTCTAAGAAATTAAAAGAAAAAGAAAAGGAAATTAGTCTTATCTTTGTTTCTTTCACT